TGTATGCTATATTTCACAACAAAAGAAGGAAAAATTAATATACTGGATGCATCATTGAGCCGTTATTGTGGGAAAAAAATACATCAAAACTTGTAGCGTAAAACAATCTGCATTTAGGGCCGGCCTGTGGCTCACTCAGTAGAGTGCAGTGCTGGTAACACCAAGGCCACGGGTTCGGATCCTATATACGGATGGCCGGTTCGCTCACTGGCTGAGTGTGGTGCTGACAACACCAAGTCAAGGGTTGAGATCCCCTTACCGGTCATCTTTAAAAAAATAAAAAAAATAAACAATCTGCATTTATAGTCTACTGCACAGTAGACCGTAGGTCATCTGGGTGGGTCTGGTCTCAGCTGGATTCATCCTCTGTGGTCAGCTGGGGGTTGGGCAGGCAGCTTTGCTGATCTTGGCTGGGCTCCTTCACATTTTTGCAGGACAACTGGCTATATAGGCTGGTCTAGGATGGCCTTGGCTGGGACAATTGGACTATCCTTGATGTAAAGTCTCATCTCAACAGGCTAGCCTGGGATTGGTCACATGGTGGTTCCAGGGTTTCAGGAGGGAGAGTGTACGAGGCCTCTTGAAGCCTAGGCTCAGAACTGATCCCTGACACTTCTGCCTCATTCTATTAACCAAAAGTCACAGGCTTGTTCAGATTCTAGGGATAAGGAGGAGCTGCAAAGAAACCATGTCAATCAGGGTTCCATTAGAGAGGCAGAGTCACTAGAAGGATAAATAATAAATATGTATATTTGTGTGTATATACAATATATTGTAGAGCTGACTAAACAGTCTATTGTAGGCATTTGCTTCTGTCTCTGGTGATAGAGCCTGAAGTCTGCAGATAACAGTCAAGAAAGAAAGATGATTGTGAAGTGGAAAAAGGAGAAACTGGAACCTGTGAGATAAGCCATACCTACAGCAGTTTCTCACTGTCCCCAAGCCCCCAACTTCAATGATGGGTGACCTGCAGAAAAAGCTGGCTTTCTTCTTAATGAAGCCAAACATCCATCTAGCCTGGGAGTCAGAAAGC